TAGCACTTATTTAAATCATATTTTGGACAAAATTCAAATTTTAGAGCCATTAAATCAATCCATTGCACTTCATATGATTCAAAAAACTATAAAGTAACTAAGGAACTCTTCGAATACATCCAGATTTATGTAATCGACATTAAAATGTGCGTATAAATAATAATAATAATAATATACAAGTAAATTTTTAATGATAAATGAAGTATTTTGAATAATAACCAGGAAGATTAATCTAAAAAATCAATTAAAATTTCCTAACGCGTGAATTATATTCAATAAACTTTGAATAGGTTCTGTGTATAATATTGAAAAGGTATGATAATGGTCAATATGTACCCATCTCCATTCTAGTGTATTCCCGTGTGATTATCATATTGTATGGGAAAGAACAAATAAGTGAATAACATTGTCTCCTTGGCTACCAAATTCAAATAGTGCCTATGTAAAGAAATCTGTCTGCAATGGAACGAAGACAATCATTACTTTAAAAAATTCTATTACATGAAAGTTATTGAAACAAGAAAATGTTCCATTATCCTCTTACCGGTTTGTTCGTCCTATCGATTAATGCATAGAAGATAACTTACTTTTGTAATGAAGCATGGGTCCACTCTTCATTTGCATGGGCATTACTCTACGTAATAAGAAATTCTCTATTAGATAAATTGTAAATTTTATTGTAATAGATAATTTTTTTTTAAATATTTTCAAATACACCAACGAAAGTATAAAGTTAATTAAATACTTCTCCCCCTAATCGAAAACTAAATTAACAAAGTTTTAAAAGCGGTTCTTTATTAAAATTCCTATTAAGTTTTGAAAATGATTAATTGCCTTTTTTAAATTGCATTATCGAGTTATTTGCATTCTAGATTAATGCATCATTATAAAAATCCCGAAGATCGCAAGTAAGTCGCGACCCGTAAGTTGGGGAAATCACTATAAGTAGCATTAAATTCACTATTTTCGAATTGCATGACAATTCGAAATTTTTATAATTACTGTAATATTTCACAATGAGTAACTTAATTATGTTTCCAAAATGGAACGAATCAATTGATTAAACTCTATCAGGGAATGTTTGTAACGCTTTGTACTAATTAATGAAAAATGGCCAGGGAATTTATAAAGATCGATCTAACTAAAATATATTATTTAAAAAAAATTATATATCTAATTTTATGTATTTTTTTTAAAATTAAACTAACAAAAGCAATTTCTCAAAAACATTTTCAGCGATAACAATGTTGAAAAATACGTCGATGGCGATCGATAGTTATTAATTATGAAGTCAATATTAAACACAATGCCGGGAGATTTTTTTTTCCTTATTGAAGTTCGGCATTAATGTCATTTTCCCCTCTTTTTTCATTACTGGAAGCCATATTTCTTCTTTCGAATATAATATTTTCAATCTGTCAAATCTCTTTGACAGATGACAACCCATGATTATCTTTAATGAAAATGAAAGCGGCAAGTAGCGAGCGAGAGAAAGAAAAGAAAGGAAATAATTTTTCTAGTTATAAAATTTACTTGAAAACCTCGTTAGAGGTAATGATCTAAGTTTAATCTATCCCTTTTAAATTATTCATCCTGTGATAGGCAAGTTTTATTTTCCTCCCTTCTTTTCGTTCTCTTTAACCACGGACAAGAAAGATCGAATTTTAAAACATAGTCGCGTAATTAAGAACTAAATTCTTTTTTCTGTAGTAAAAAAATAATTTCTTTTTTTTTAATTATTTTACGCGTGGTCCTTTCCCCCAAAAAAACAAATCAACGTTTCGTTACCGAATTAGGTTCAAGCAGAGTATTAATAAATAAATAAAATAAATGAAGATTAAGTAAAATATAATTAATTATAAATTAATTAATTTAAAGATAACCTACCTTAAAATATCGATGTGTACAATCAAAATTTGAGATTAATTTTTTTTTTGTTTTTTTTTTAAATAAATGAAAATTATTTTGACATTAACAATTGGAGTGCGAATGGACGTTTCGTTGCAATATTCTCTTAAGAGTGTTTCAAGTTATGTGAAGGAACGTCCATTCGCACATGACCACTTGGAAAGCGCTCATCTCAACTCGGCATACGATTTCATTGCGCAGCTCACTCTGGCGATAGAAATTGGAAAAGCATTTCTAGAGAGAAGGGCACAAATGCCGTTCGTTTTTTCTTTTCTTTCCCCTTCTCTTCTCCTCCACTCTTTTTTGGCTCGAAGTAAATAAAATTTTCAAGTACTATCGATCGTTTCTTATGCATTTTAATCTCTTTAATGCAGGATTTTTTAAGAAAAAATGGCTCAAAATTAAAAAAAAAACAAAAAACACTTATTAAAAGGCACTTAATTTTATATTTTTCCTTTCCTTTAATAAGAGTTTTGTTCAAATGAACTATTCCGTCTCGAATGGGTATGTTGAACCATAAAAACAATGAAATAAATATCGCCAATTTAGAATTGTCGTCGTCGTCTTAACTAACTCGTCTAAAAACTATCCTTTTCTTCCCTTTATTTTTTTTATATTAAAAATATATTATTCGTGTATAAAAATATAAATTTTTATTTCTTTCCTTTGAATTATGACATAACTTAGAAACACCAATTATTAGATAACAACAAACCAATGGTACAGTTCATTTCGTATGAAACGAATTGTTTGCATACTTATCCGTTTGTCCCTTATAAGCATGCAAAAATAAAAATATTAATTAAATTTATACTTTTATTGAATTTTTAAAAATATGAAATTTTATATTATGAGCAAGAAAAAATTACAAAAACTACATAATTTTTAAATGAGATGTATCCTTGGTCGTGTTAAACGAAATAAAATCCGACTAAGAGTTGCGTAACTTTTCCGGCAATAAAGTTAAAATTGCGTGTGGCACCACCTTTTAAGATAATTTTATTTAAAAACCTTATATTATTAATTCTTATAAAACGACAAAAAAGCTTAATTTTGAGGGTAGAGATGAGTTTTGTTTAAAAAAAAGAAAAAGCTTTAAATGTCAATAACGAATATCATCTTCATTACGTCCAGATTACTCGAGATATGACATACGACTCCCATCTACCTCCACACTCCCTGGCCTTTAACCACTAAAATTTAATACCATCAATTACCCAATACACAAAAACCTTACTGCNTAATAATAAATTAATAAATAAAAATAAATAAATTACATGAAAATTTTATTTACATGTAAACAAATTGATAATTTTGTATTTTAACTAAAATTATTTTCATCAATTTAACACGAGACGTTCTTAGTAACGACAAAACATAAATTCTATCATCATCATCATCTTGCCTTTAATTTTAATTCATCTGCTGATAGTAGTAATCGATTTTAATTGTATATAATGTAGTTGTAAATAATTTTTACTGTTTTGTAATAATTTATTTACTTTTTGCGTGAATCAAACAAATCTAATCGTAAAATCAGAAATCATTGATTCTGTTAATAAGATTCGTGCCCTACCTCATAAAGCTCGGAATATGAATTTTATTTATTAAGAATTAAAATTTAATATCTACACTCTAAAAATCGATAGTGCTTATTTTATTAACCACGTGTTTCATAACTGTTGAACAAATTATAATCTGATATATCTGAAAACTGCTACACATCACAAATTTCACGTTCTAGTTTAACAAGGTAAAGAAAGAAAAGAAAAAACATAGATAATACTATCATCATAGCATTTTCTATGATGATTATTCATAATGTTCTCTATGAGCCAAATGCTCATTAACCTAAGCATTTCTTCGAAAAGTTAGAAAGAATCCTTAAGATAATGGAGCATTTGGCGAAGGATAGATCAAATATTATTAATAATGATGAATTTTACGAGAAGATAAATAAAATAAAATTTTTAAATTCGATATTCGTGGAGAGAATAATTGAAAATCTGAAAAGATAAAAGTGTTAATTGTGGAGACTTTCATCGATCGATAGAAGATGCTCCAGGAAATGGCTCCGCAGGTTCACTTAAGTTACATGTTGTGAAACTAAACATCTTACAGATTAATTCGATTCTTATTTGGGATTAACTAGCCAAAAATAACTTAAATTTAAAATTTGACTCGAAATTATTCTAATGATATGTTTTTAAACAATTCTTTCATTGAAATTAATTGTATTGTTATTGATTTTATTGTAACTTTTTAAACCGAAATCATTTTTAATTTCGCTAATCTCTTGTTAATTGCATAAATAAGCTTATATGAAGGATTAATTCGAAACGGACTTAAAGTTAATTAAAGGAATACGGTTCTAAAAGTTATTTAATAGATTTAATTTACGATTATATTATAATTCAATGAAGTTTCATCAAGTTTTGTTGTTGAAGATTTAATGAAACGAACTAGATTTAAAGCAGAATCAATCGGGACTACCAATTTAACTCTTTAATCCAGTTTCAATATATTGAATATTTTGATGTGTATTATCTGTGCTGAAAACTATTATTTAATTAAAAATAATTTTCGTATATTTATTTTAAAAAAATTTTAAAGAAATGTTCACATTTCTCAATTTTTTTAAAACTCTTAAGTTAATTAAAGAAAGAATGAAAAAATAAAAGTTGCTTTTACATATATAGAGACAATTTTTCATATAAATATATTTAAAATATTTACATTTTTACAAAAAATATAATAATTTAATTTTTCGGTGAATTATAATTAGTTTTATTTTACAACAGAAATAATAATAACGGTTATTTTAAAAATGTCTGAATGGTTTTAATGTTTTTTAAATTATTTTGTCATAAGTTTCAGTATGAATTTTTTTATATAAATATTTTTCCTTATTCGTGGAAATATATTGACAACTATCTTGCTGACATTCATCTTCTTATCGATAAAAATTTATTTGCATGGTTTGCTTTTTTTCTTTTTCTTTCTTTTTTTTGCAAAATTACTTTTTTCCCGCTGGCAATTTTAGATAATTAAATTCGCCTTATATTTAATAATAAATTCTTAAAATTAAAATACTCATCTCGTACAGTTTTATACATGTATATATTTATATATTTCAATAATTTATTGTATAATTTTCTCCAAATCTCTAAAACGGATACAAAACAACGTTCCTTGTTTTTTCTAAAACTAACATAAATCTGTTTTACAAAAAGAACGACATTACCAAACATTTTTCCCCCTGTTTTTTTCCTATACAAATAGTTTATCGACTAAAAATCTATTAATATTCTCTCAAACTACTTTGTTTTTCTTTAAAAAGCAAAAGCGCAAACATCAAAATCGCATCCGTCTCCATCGAATATATTCACATCGTATCCATCACTTTGCATTCCATCCGAGATGCTGGACATGTGATCCGATGCGGACACATGATCGTCCCAACCCCATCCCGATCCCCAACCGGTTCCTAATATTGTTGCTGTTAACATGCCACAAGTAAATGCATCCTCTTCGTTATACTTCTCGCTTTCTGCGTGTAAAACCAATGAATTTTATATTATATATAAAGGAATAATATTTATAATTTTAATTACTTACGCGAAATAGTTTTATTCTTTTCGTCGATACGAGGTGGAGGCGGTGGTGGAAGCTGAAAATAAAAAAAATTTATATTAACCACTCATCTGGTATTGTAGATTTTTTGATAAATAATAATTATAATTTAACTTTCCTTCAATATACACGTATATTTTAATGAGCTTACAATTTTTATAACTCAAAGTGGTGCCACGTACTTCGAATTTAATTCGTTTCGGGAGGCCGTTTGAAGTACGAGGTACCAGTGTATATTTAATTTAAAATTTATACCTAACTATAACAAATGTAAGATGACAACTATAAAATTCAGACTTAAATATATAAAAACAAATTGCCATAAATCGACTTACTGTGTTATTGATGGCAGTTATCCACGCTCTGAAAAGAAAAGAATTATCATAATACGAATACGGAATAAAGACGTGAATATTTGACGAAAGAAACATTATCCGACGAATATTTTCGAATAAATCGTTAAAATCCGGGCTAAAGGATCGATCGATTTAATTATTCGAAATTATTCAAACAATTTTAACTGGAGATATTCAAAAGTCGAGAATCGAAAATTGTCTACTCGAGTTCATCGATCGTATAAATATTTATTTAAGAGAAAACTTTACGCTAAAATCTATACACTCTCTAAATAAAATTTCTTCTTTTTCGTGGTGCTGTTTAATTTTGCATAATTTTGAACTTGTTTTGATTATGAAAAGCAATAGCGCTTATCTTAAATAATCTTAAATAAAAGATTTTTCGCGTTATATTCGCAAACTAATACAATAGTAAACGTTACATGATCTATAAATTTCATGCATAATTTGTGTTGCAAAAATTAAATTTTATACACATCTTATACTGTTTGAACATATAAATAAAACGATTTTTAATTATGCATTTAAGCTACTAGCGAGAGAAATTTAAAATTTATTTGAAATATTACATAACATTGCTATCGTTTTGTTTCCTTTGAAACGTGTTTTCATTTTTAATAAAATAAAACATGAATAAGACTGATATATTATCTAAAAGACATCGAGTATTTGATATAAGTGATATCGTCTCTCTTTATCTAACTTTGATTTCAGCAATTTTGATAAGAGTCGAATAAAAATTTCAATTCGAACTAACCATTGAGATATTATATTTTGAATAATTTACAAGTTGAATACTACTTACAGGACGTCCTCGGAATTTTTACAAAGAAACCAATGTACAGATTCGTCCTTTCTAGATCCGAAAGCCAATAACTGGGATACTTTATAACCTTCGGGAATTTCTGGTCTGTTTGGGACTTGGATAGTAAAGGGACCGCAAGCCACGAGTTCTGGAGCATCCTTGAGCATAAGAGATCCCTCGGGTTCTAGTTTATCTTTCTCAATTTTCAGCCATACGAGAGCGCTGTTGTCGTAAAGTACGACATATTCTCTCCTCCAATCTTTCTTAAAAATACGTTCTGTCAACAGAGAAAAGTGTGTTTTAGTACAGCGAATTACAAAAAACTTATTTAGAGTCAGAGAGCGACAATGGACGATTCTCTCGATAACACAATGAACTACTTGGGTTATTGTCTTCGTTCGATCGATAGACTGAGGATTATCTTGTAGGACGTAAGCTGCTCAAGCTTGTTCTTTAACTCTCAAAGGAGAACTTATATAAGCTTTAAGATGATTCTTTTCACAAGAAAAAACTTTCCATCAAAGTAGAATGTATGCCGAAGATACACATATATTGAAATATTTACATGCTAGAAACAAATCAATTTAATTCTAAAGTTTTTTGAATGTATCTCTAATCCTGTATTTTACTTTATGAAAATTATATATCGGTAATTTAATTAACCAAAACTTAAATGTTTGCATAAAATTTAAACGCTGTTCATAAAAAAGAGTAAATTACTATTATTCTAAGATGAATTTGGTTATTTCATGAAGATCTGTTTCTGCTAAACATAGTAAATCACATAAATTTGTCAAATAAATAATACTTTTCAATTTATATATTGCATTTTATTTTTAATATTTTAAACTAAAGTATAAACATTTATATTATTCAATTATTTTTTATATATTTTTAGAAAACAGTACTTTTGTAAAATTTAAAAATTAAATTCATTAATGCTTTTATTAAAATAGTTTAAAAAAACTAATTTTTGAAATTACTTATAAAACTTCAAAAAACTGCAAACAATATAATTATTAATTACATTTTTCTCTAATTTCAAGAGATTTTAATAAATAAAATAATTACGTTTCTTTATTTAAAATGATGATTTAAAAATTCGTTTCCAAAAGTGAGACCTATAGAAGAAAAATCTCTTATAATAAAAATATAGTTTTTAATTACTTTGTAGCATTGAATTCCATTAATTTTTCTTTTTTGCATTTTATTTTATTATAATTCGACGGTTTTTCTATTTAATTTATTTATTATATTATATATACGGTATCGTTTTAAATTGTTTTATTTCATCAGAAATCAATTTTTGAATAAAACAAATTACTACTGGACAACACTACGAACATTTTATAAATATTCGATAGCACTTATTTAAATCATATTTTGGACAAAATTCAAATTTTAGAGCCATTAAATCAATCCATTGCACTTCATATGATTCAAAAAACTATAAAGTAACTAAGGAACTCTTCGAATACATCCAGATTTATGTAATCGACATTAAAATGTGCGTATAAATAATAATAATAATAATATACAAGTAAATTTTTAATGATAAATGAAGTATTTTGAATAATAACCAGGAAGATTAATCTAAAAAATCAATTAAAATTTCCTAACGCGTGAATTATATTCAATAAACTTTGAATAGGTTCTGTGTATAATATTGAAAAGGTATGATAATGGTCAATATGTACCCATCTCCATTCTAGTGTATTCCCGTGTGATTATCATATTGTATGGGAAAGAACAAATAAGTGAATAACATTGTCTCCTTGGCTACCAAATTCAAATAGTGCCTATGTAAAGAAATCTGTCTGCAATGGAACGAAGACAATCATTACTTTAAAAAATTCTATTACATGAAAGTTATTGAAACAAGAAAATGTTCCATTATCCTCTTACCGGTTTGTTCGTCCTATCGATTAATGCATAGAAGATAACTTACTTTTGTAATGAAGCATGGGTCCACTCTTCATTTGCATGGGCATTACTCTACGTAATAAGAAATTCTCTATTAGATAAATTGTAAATTTTATTGTAATAGATAATTTTTTTTTAAATATTTTCAAATACACCAACGAAAGTATAAAGTTAATTAAATACTTCTCCCCCTAATCGAAAACTAAATTAACAAAGTTTTAAAAGCGGTTCTTTATTAAAATTCCTATTAAGTTTTGAAAATGATTAATTGCCTTTTTTAAATTGCATTATCGAGTTATTTGCATTCTAGATTAATGCATCATTATAAAAATCCCGAAGATCGCAAGTAAGTCGCGACCCGTAAGTTGGGGAAATCACTATAAGTAGCATTAAATTCACTATTTTCGAATTGCATGACAATTCGAAATTTTTATAATTACTGTAATATTTCACAATGAGTAACTTAATTATGTTTCCAAAATGGAACGAATCAATTGATTAAACTCTATCAGGGAATGTTTGTAACGCTTTGTACTAATTAATGAAAAATGGCCAGGGAATTTATAAAGATCGATCTAACTAAAATATATTATTTAAAAAAAATTATATATCTAATTTTATGTATTTTTTTTAAAATTAAACTAACAAAAGCAATTTCTCAAAAACATTTTCAGCGATAACAATGTTGAAAAATACGTCGATGGCGATCGATAGTTATTAATTATGAAGTCAATATTAAACACAATGCCGGGAGATTTTTTTTTCCTTATTGAAGTTCGGCATTAATGTCATTTTCCCCTCTTTTTTCATTACTGGAAGCCATATTTCTTCTTTCGAATATAATATTTTCAATCTGTCAAATCTCTTTGACAGATGACAACCCATGATTATCTTTAATGAAAATGAAAGCGGCAAGTAGCGAGCGAGAGAAAGAAAAGAAAGGAAATAATTTTTCTAGTTATAAAATTTACTTGAAAACCTCGTTAGAGGTAATGATCTAAGTTTAATCTATCCCTTTTAAATTATTCATCCTGTGATAGGCAAGTTTTATTTTCCTCCCTTCTTTTCGTTCTCTTTAACCACGGACAAGAAAGATCGAATTTTAAAACATAGTCGCGTAATTAAGAACTAAATTCTTTTTTCTGTAGTAAAAAAATAATTTCTTTTTTTTTAATTATTTTACGCGTGGTCCTTTCCCCCAAAAAAACAAATCAACGTTTCGTTACCGAATTAGGTTCAAGCAGAGTATTAATAAATAAATAAAATAAATGAAGATTAAGTAAAATATAATTAATTATAAATTAATTAATTTAAAGATAACCTACCTTAAAATATCGATGTGTACAATCAAAATTTGAGATTAATTTTTTTTTTGTTTTTTTTTTAAATAAATGAAAATTATTTTGACATTAACAATTGGAGTGCGAATGGACGTTTCGTTGCAATATTCTCTTAAGAGTGTTTCAAGTTATGTGAAGGAACGTCCATTCGCACATGACCACTTGGAAAGCGCTCATCTCAACTCGGCATACGATTTCATTGCGCAGCTCACTCTGGCGATAGAAATTGGAAAAGCATTTCTAGAGAGAAGGGCACAAATGCCGTTCGTTTTTTCTTTTCTTTCCCCTTCTCTTCTCCTCCACTCTTTTTTGGCTCGAAGTAAATAAAATTTTCAAGTACTATCGATCGTTTCTTATGCATTTTAATCTCTTTAATGCAGGATTTTTTAAGAAAAAATGGCTCAAAATTAAAAAAAAAACAAAAAACACTTATTAAAAGGCACTTAATTTTATATTTTTCCTTTCCTTTAATAAGAGTTTTGTTCAAATGAACTATTCCGTCTCGAATGGGTATGTTGAACCATAAAAACAATGAAATAAATATCGCCAATTTAGAATTGTCGTCGTCGTCTTAACTAACTCGTCTAAAAACTATCCTTTTCTTCCCTTTATTTTTTTTATATTAAAAATATATTATTCGTGTATAAAAATATAAATTTTTATTTCTTTCCTTTGAATTATGACATAACTTAGAAACACCAATTATTAGATAACAACAAACCAATGGTACAGTTCATTTCGTATGAAACGAATTGTTTGCATACTTATCCGTTTGTCCCTTATAAGCATGCAAAAATAAAAATATTAATTAAATTTATACTTTTATTGAATTTTTAAAAATATGAAATTTTATATTATGAGCAAGAAAAAATTACAAAAACTACATAATTTTTAAATGAGATGTATCCTTGGTCGTGTTAAACGAAATAAAATCCGACTAAGAGTTGCGTAACTTTTCCGGCAATAAAGTTAAAATTGCGTGTGGCACCACCTTTTAAGATAATTTTATTTAAAAACCTTATATTATTAATTCTTATAAAACGACAAAAAAGCTTAATTTTGAGGGTAGAGATGAGTTTTGTTTAAAAAAAAGAAAAAGCTTTAAATGTCAATAACGAATATCATCTTCATTACGTCCAGATTACTCGAGATATGACATACGACTCCCATCTACCTCCACACTCCCTGGCCTTTAACCACTAAAATTTAATACCATCAATTACCCAATACACAAAAAATTTCAGAAATTTTCGGCAAAGACACCAGGGGATATTACACACAAACAAACCACTACAGAGAAACTTCCCCCTGTTTTTGTTTTTACATTTCTCGGCGTTCAAGGCCCGAGTCCAAAAATGTAAAAATCCTGGGGATCATTTTTTTGACCAATCGACAGACTTTCCTTCTGTTATATATAACAGCCGTAAAAGTAAAAAGAGAAAAAAAAGACAAAAAAAAAAATATTTGGAAATTGGCCAAATTCAATCTTTTGTTCTGAAGAGTGAATGATTATTACATAAAGTACTGTTACATCACAATTTTCGAAGTGATTGTCAGTTACTCTGTTTAAACAAAAAATTTTTTATGCATATTCTTCTCTTATAAATATACACCTCATAATTTTGGAATGATAATTATAGATACTGATATACTAAAAAATATATATTAATGAATTAAATTATAAAGCAATCGCTAAAAGATTTTAATTATATTAATTTTTAATAAAATTAATACATAATTAATTATACAGTAAAACCTGCGTAAATCGGAATCGCACGGTACTGATGGATATTTTTTCCTGTTTGGCAGTTTTCCGTCTAGAGTGGGTTTTTTTAACATAGAAAATCGCTCCATTCCGAAGAGTTTTTCCCGTTTAGGCAGGTTTTTCTTTTAAGTTCCATTTTGAGCATACTGTATATGTAATAAATGAACAAACTTTATCTCCATTATTCTATAAATAGGCTTTCTCTAAACGAATCATGTTTTTTTTAATGAAAATATGTATTTAAATATTACACTGTTTGACCCATTAGTTACTAAGATTAAAACCGATCGTCACAACCAAGCATCTAGTGAAAAGGTCAACCTGGTCATTTAACAAGCGTTAAAATTTATTGATGTCGCTAAAAAGAAAAAAGTTCACTACGAAAGAAAAATGTTGAAGGATGAGATTTTTTTTTCTATTGTAAACAAATTCTATCATAATTATATTTTTGACTCTGTAAAGTAAATTTAATATTGATAATCCATCTTCATTACTTGAAAGGTCATCTAACAAGACACCTTACGATTTATTGGTTCGTTAAACAAAATAAAAAGTTTATAGAACAATTTGCAGAAGATTACAAGATAGCAGTTTCATACATTTAAACATATTATTTATCATAATAACCTTCTGTTTTTTGTTTTATACATTTAAAATTAAAAAATCCAGCAGAGTTGCAAAAACATAAGATATATCACAAAACTAAAATTGTGTTGGAGCCATCTGTTAGGACATTTTGTTTTAAAAAATAACTTTTATATTATTAATTATTATAAAATGTCAAAAAGCTTAATTTTGAGGGATGAAATGAGTTTTATATTAAAAAAAATTAAATACTAATAACGAGTAAAATCTTCAGTAAGTCCGACACACTCGACCATTAGCCACCAAAATTTAATAGCATCTATGCCCCTTATATAGAAGTTACCATGCCAAATTTGTTTTTTAATCGTTATTCCATCTTGAGATATTCAACAATATAGACGCTAACACACACGCACACACACAATGTCCACGAAAATTCCCCGCCCCTTTTTGACTTCGGGAGATCTCAAAACATGGAGATTTGCAAAAAACCCGTAGGGTCAAGTTTGACACGATTCCAATACTTTCCCGTGTTACAAACACAACAAATAGGGAAAGTAAAATAGTAAATTCGCCATTACTGATAGCAATAGAAAGGTCATCGAGAAGTAAAAAAAAAAAAAACCTTACGATTTATTAACCTCTGACAAAATTGAGAGCTCACATTAGAGAAAGCAGGATAAAAGATAATATTTTACACGCAATAAGCAAATTATTCATCGTAAAAGTTCATATTTGGCAAGTATCTACTTACAGATTTAGTTAATTGAAATGATAAATTTTTAGATTTTTATAGAAAGAAATGTTTTAAATAGACGTAAAAGTTATTCTACAAAATTAAGTTAAATTGCAATTTAGTAAAAACATAAAACAGCAAAACCTGTTCAATACGGAAACATGCCTAAATGGGAGAAATTCTTCGGAACAGAGCACTTTTCTATGTTAAGAAAAAACTGTTCAAAACGGAAACCTGCCAAACCGAAATCATTCTGTATCGTGCGATTCCGGCTTGAGCAGGAATTATACTGTATATATAACCTAATATGCTAAAAACAAAATATATAAATTAGAAAATAAAATGGATTAAGTATATTATATCTAAAAACCTGAGAGCATTTATTTATTTATTTTTTTAACTTTTCAAATCGATCTGAATTGGCAAAGTCCGATTACTTGATGTAAACGATTCTCTATTTTGAAACAGGAATTTTGATATTTTTACTCCTATAAAAATCGGTTTCTCGCTGCAAGAAGCGAAAATTTTCAATTTTATATATATATATATATAAATTCAATTTCTTTTTCCTCGGAGCTGTATTGAGTCATATGAAATGTAAAAATAGATTCAATATATTCATCGTAGAAACTTTCGGTTCGGGACCTGTACTAGAAAAAAGCGAGAAAAATTACAGTAAAACCTGTCCAAAACGGAATCTGAATACAACGGAAACCTATCTAAACGGGAAACGGGTCGATTTTCTGTTTAAAATCACCTGTTCAAAACGGAAACTCGCCAAACCAAAAAATATATTTAGCACCTTTCAGTTTGCGCAGGTTTTCTGTAATTATAAAAATTAGATATTTAATGTCGATTTAATTAAGATAAAAATAAAGAAATAAAATCATAAATGTGAATATACTGAATCGATTTCGTTAGAATTATTCAAGGAATGAATCGGTATTAGAGAGATTGAGATGAAAGCATTTCTTTTATGTACTGTATATATATTTTTTGTGTTTGTGTGTTACTTTAATCTCCTCCCAGCGGAATGCATCTTCGACGTGTACCCTTTTGTCGTATTCCATTTGTCAAGCCGACAACTATCCTCTCGTGAGAAGAGATACTCTAACAGTCCATCTGGCCCTAGTAAAGTAGAAAACAGAAAAGACAACACTCTTAAAACGCCTTCCATTTACAACCCTTTACCAATCTTTCTCTCTCTCTTCGATTTTAAAAAACACTTGACAGTATTTTCGGAAAGCCATTTAAGATCGAAAAATAACGATATGCTGTATATGGACTATTAAAACTTGCAAATATATTTTTTCCTAATATAAATTAATGCCTAATAACTGAAAAAAATTTAATTTATTGGGCTGCAATTTCAAAAAAAAATTATACACCTATAAATTCCCACTGTCGTCCGTCTGTCTGTCCTTAATCTCGAGAACGGAGTTAGATAGATGAAATCTGAAACCAGATATGTAAACCTGAGTGGCAGAAGGCCCCGATTTATAACTATACACAAACTTCCGATACAAACCGAAAGTCATGCTATTTCAATTTGAAAATTTTTCCCCGAAAGGAGTTAGATAGATGACCGGCACGGCTTTATTCTGAAAGGGAAAAGTATGGTGTACGGGGGCAAGCCACTACTAATTTGAAGTGGAGAGCATATATTTTAAATTAAATAAATTAAAATATGATTAATAACTGCAGCCAGAACTGCGACCGTGCCATTATAAATAATTGCCGTTTCATATAATATTCATCAATTTAAAAAATAAAAATATTTATTTATTTCTGATAGGGTGTACTATTTAAAACGACCAAACTAACAATCGATTGGTTTGAATAGTATGACGTATTTTAAATTGATAATTTAAAATTATTCGAAATTTGACTACTCTGATATGATGCTTTAACAACAAAACTCGGTTTATATTTAAATTAGTTAATTGATAAGAATGATATACAGTATATAGTAAAACCTACGCAAGCTGGAACTGCACGGTACCGAATATTTTTCTGGATTGGCAGGTTTCCGTTTTAAACAGTTTTTAAATATATTGATA